CTTTTAATGGATGGGGACTCCTCGCTGTCGTTAGTACCCAGTAGTAGGAACACCACCTTTAGTAGCTCAAAGTAAAGCCACCAAGACAAAGGGCTAATATAGTGTAGCATTTTTATTTGCCAATGATGGTATACAGATTAGAGTAGCATACTAATATGATATGCTCTAATAACAATCAATAGCCATAAGTAAACATTGGTGGGTAGCAACAGCTACAACTGGGTGGGTAATATAGTCAGTAAAGATGAACATGCATGCAAGTCAGGAACCAAAATGGCCACTGATTTAGCACATAGCTCTCAACAGTAGACTAGGACATCGGTGCGGCAAGCCAGTACCCTGACGCGTTTCGTGCAATGGCACATTGACAATGACAGTGTCGTTGGAGTACCATTTATCCATCGGGTCCTAGATGACTACATATATTACATGCGCATTATTAATATACATCTGGTGAGTGCAAGCACACCCCTTTGTTCTTCATATCACTGAAGTCATGAGCACATTTTACTATTGACATTAAGTTCCCGGGAAAACTGGCGCATTTCATTTGAAAGTTTTATTTGAATATTTTAAGACTTTTTATATAAATCAAATTGGTTGTTGATTGTTGTGTCACTATGAAATGATGTCACATTTTACCAAATATTGTCTTCATTAAAGACATCACTCATATGTTCACTTTTTCTAGCGCATAAGATTGTGCATTATATATCACCATTGCACTTTATTATGAGCGCTGCATTCTTTGATATTAATTTCCCTGTGGTGCATGGAGTTCTAGGCGGTAGTGGAGTGGTAATTTTTCAAAACTTGCTCATCTACAATATTACAATCCTGTTTGGTATTAAAATCATGTAGAGATTTTATCTAAAGGTTTGTTTCACCTAAAATTATATATATGTTCTGAATGCAGTTCTTAGCCAACAATTACAACAAAGCAGACATGTGGATGCTCAACAGTGTTTTAATTATTATGTTTACTGTAACCATTACGGTATGTAAATGAACCCAAAACTCAGCTGGATTACATTCTTTGTACTATATGTTCCTTATGGCACTTAAACAGTGCAGTACATCATACTAGCTATTTGTGCCAATTCTCCCTTTCACAGTCTGAGCTGGATTGGAAGAGGCTGATACCAGATAATGTTTTGTTAATTATACTGCTTGCATTTAGAAATATACTGTATTTAATTATGTAATCATGACAAAATAAAATAATATATTAATGTTATAATAATAAATGCAATCTGTGTGTATATATATGTCTTTTAGGCTGCAAGCACACTGGCCTGGACAGCAAACCAAGTGCTACCAATGTTTAGGGTAGCATGCTCCCAGGGGCCAATGCCCAGAACATAGATTGCTTGCATTCTGGGCTTTCATCCCTGGGCACATTCTTCCCTAAATGTTAGTAGCAAGGCATGACCTGGTGATATGCTACTGGCGGGACACAGATTTGGCTGTGCTCTAATTCCTGGGAAAGCTCTTTTGGGCAGACCTATTTGGAAATTTGGTGTTGGGGCAGTTATACTCAGGGATGCAGGCCAGTGTGTAATACTCTGATTGTTTTGGAAAACATCCTGTTTTCTTTCATCTAAATCTTTTGCAATAGGTTTTGGTTTCTACACTTCCTTAGTGGCTGCCTCCTCTGTGATTTCATAAGCCTTTCCACAAGCTGGGTAGGAGAACCTGGAGAGAACACAACTATCATTCTGGCTTGGTATTTTATGTACCAGCCTGGTTTTGTTCCAGGTGGAAATATTGCCTCTTCTTATCCTGTTGACGCAAAGCAGCTCTCTTTATAGGTCCTGAAGAAGTGGGATTTCTGTGAAACGCGTAGACATTTGCTAAACTGTCCAAACTATGATTTACATTTTTGTGTATGAATTTGTGTTTTGTGGTTGCCTTTACATTTTGTACAAAATAAAATATGTTTTTTATGACCAAGGGTAAGTTGTGAGAACTCCTATATATAACGCTGGTGAGGTACACTTACCCCTTAGAGAGGTTTTTGTTTTGTTTTTTGACTAGTGCAAGGCATGGTACCTAGCAGTGTTACCGTGTAGGAACTAATATTGGGTCCTAACCAAGTTTTGCTATATTAATGTTAGTAGCACTTGGTGCATCATCCAGCTACAGCAGCTGTCAGCCTGTCATACAGTTTAATAGGCTGTTGGCAGTGCGGCTGGACAGTATACAGATGCTTTCACCTGAACTTAAACACCAGAGCCTCATGTACTGGAGCTAAACACCCAGTGTGCAGGGGCCTTATAGGAGATTGAATACTTCTGCTTACATCCTTTTTTTTTGTCTGACACCATCACCAGAACCAGGAGTAAGTGGGAACCTCTCCAGTGAGGCACAGACAGCAATAAAAAATTTCCTGATTTCCATCACTATGTTGTAATCAACACTAAAAGAAAACATTTTGGCTGGAGTTGGGCCTTTGAAGTACGTATGCATGGAACTATTTATCCTGTACGTGATTTTGTGATTTTCTTCTGATAGACAGATATTAAACTTTTGTCTTCTTTGTTGTAATGGTTGGCTAAGAATGAAGTGTTTATATTGGCACACTTGGCCTTAATATTTGAAACTCCCAAGTTTAGAGTGGCATTCTTTTTGTGTACATTTGTGATGGAAAGAAATAATCTGTATATGTTCAGGGGTGTGAAAATGTTCTTTTGTTAATGCTGTAATCCATTATTTTAAGATACAAGCACATATTTACTGAACTGGTTACTTAACAGAAATTAGTCTTTTATTGTGAGTGTTTAAAATAAATTATGATATCATAGTGTTAGGAACTGGCTTCAGTGTAATCCCACTAATTTATTTAATTTGCAGCGCTGATAACTACTTTGGGCACACGTGAATCTTCCAGCAATAAACTGAGGCTGATTCACTAAGACTGAGTTCACATCTATCCATGTCCACTTTGATAAAGTTTTAGAGCGTCTTTTTAATGTGCGATGCACTGCATTTTACATGTTTTCATTATTGTATTGGGCATCACAGTTCATGAAAATGGACAGAGAATCAGACATGCCTACTTTTTATCAACACACCACAATACAGCTCGCAGATATGAACGGACTCATTGGAGTCAGTGGGGTGTGGGATTACTAAAGGGAAATAGACTGTGCACTTTGCAAGTACAGTTGCACTCATTTTCCTTAGTAATAGTAATGTGGTAAAATTTCACTTTGTAAATAATACCCAATCAGGTGCAAGGAAAAAAAAAACATATTTGCTTGCATAAGATTGGATGATGGAAATCAGCAGAGTTTTACCACATTGACCAAACCCTTGGGAAAATGAGTGCAACTGTACTTGCAAAGTGCAAAGTCTCTTTGCCTTTTGTAACTCAACCTCATTATTTCACTGAGGAATGCAGTACAGGTAGCAAATATGGTGTTTTTCTGTTTTTTTAAACAGGTATGTATTATGAGCTATGTAGAATGTACAGTATTCAGCAGGTTTCATTTTTTTTTAATTCCCATTATACTGCTTATGTGGAAATGTCTACCCATAGCTGAGGGACATACACTAGGGGTGACGTCACTGGGGAATCGCTGATTCAGAACTTTTAAAATCTTTTAAATATTTGCCTGTAGGTCTGTGTGATGTAGGAAGAATCACCAAATACAGGAATCCATGCAATGATGATTTATGTACACATACATTAGGGAGAATTTAAAAATTCACATCCTCCGACCTACTATTGTTTCCAAGCTATAGTGTACTTGGTGGTCCCCTGAGAAGATGCACATGTGGTAAGCCTTACAATAAGGATGATGGGCAAGTAGTATAGAAACAGCCATTGCTCTGTATGGCCAAAAATTACCAAAAATGCCCTTAAAAGGTCAAAGCAATGAAAAATCAGTGTATGTAAGATTATGTTGTGTAACAACAGAGCAAAGTCATCCTCTGACCTGCTGAGGCCTAGGCAGGTGATCCAAGGGGCACACTGAAGTCCCCTAGTTTGGGACTTCCAAGGCACCACCTGACAAAGGGAAACACCCTGAGAATGACCCAGCCTGGCATCACAGAAATTATGCTGTCTTATTACAATCCGCTACTGGTCTTGCTCACCTACAGACTCAGCTAAGCCCTAGTCCAAACAGCCACTTCCAGGAGAAATCCCTATAGAGGTTAGAGGAAGGAGCAGTCCACGCAAAAAGTCTCTTTTCAAAGGTTTACTAAACTGATAAGTGCAGTTCGGTCTCCCATAAAGGGCAGAATTGTACAAGCCTGGTCACAATGTCTCAGGGAGTATCTCACTACAGGATCATGGTATAAGGAAAAATGCTAGGACTTGTTTAAAAGGAGGAAAGGAAGGTTTGGTGGTATAGTTGTGTTATGTCTAGACATACACTTTCATTGTTACCACTGCTACTATTTATATAGAACTCACACAATAATCAAGTGTTCTATTGAGTTTATTGCTTACACTTTTTTGGGTTCCTTATGGTGTTACTTTTCTTTCACAGCCTATGGAAAACAATGCTAAGAGTGAAAGCAGAAGAATGTGTTTTACCACCACGGATAAAAACTTCCTGCATCTGGATGAAGAGTACTGTCTGGACATCACGTATTACTTTAACTAAACAATTAAAGTGCAAGTTCGAGTACAAGATATTGGATCCATGCATTCAGGATTGTTAAACTTATCGCTTTTGCATAGCGATAATTGTAATAATACTATGTCCTCACTGTTTATTCCCATGGGTCCAGAGAACATAACCAACCAACCTTCCATGGCAGAGACACTGTACTGGAATAATCATACCATGCTATTCAAACCAGTTTTCAATATGGTAATCTCACCCATAACTATCATAATATCAATAATTGGTTTATGCGGAAACAGCTTAGTTGTGTGGTACCTCTCTTTTAAGATAAAGAGGAACACTTCCACAATCTATATCTTTAACCTTGCCATGGCTGATGCTGCCTTTCTGCTATTTGTCATTGTATTGACTTTTGTTGCTATGGTTTTTACCCTGGCCCCAGGATTAGAAGACCACTATGAAGATATTAATTTTATCAATGTGATTGATACACTCATCCAAGCTTGCATTTTTGGATACAATACCAGCTTAGGCCTTCTTACAGCTATAAGCATTGAAAGATGTCTGTCCGTCCTATTTCCTATCTGGTATCACTGCAACAGACCAAAGCATCTATCGTCTGTGGTGTGTGCCTTCATATGGGTCACTTCTTGTCTGTTTAGTGCACTTGAGGTAGCTTTTTGTTACAATGTTACATACAACCGCACAGGCCTGAAAAATGGATCTGGTAAGGAATGTAAAGTTGTCTTTATTATTATCTGTTGTTTTAGCTTCATTGTCTTTATTCCATCCATGACAGTATCAAGCTTGATTCTGCTTATTAAAGTATGGAAACGTTCTCATCAACGGCAACCTAAGAAGTTATATGTGGTCATCACAGTGACAGTCATTTTCTTCCTTGTGTTTGGAATGCCCATGCGAATCCTGCTACTAGCATGGTACAAACACCATATTATGCCACCTTTCCCCATGATGGATTTATTTTCTTTGTTCTGCTCTATGAACAGTGCCATAAATCCTTTTGTATACTTCCTTGTTGGTCGCAGAGGCACCCATGGTGGAAAGTTTAACACTCCTAGCTATTCTTCAGGCTGTATTTCGAGATGAAGGATCACAGTATAAAAGAGAACAAAGAAAAATATCAGCTGAACCAGAGACAGTAATGTGAAATTGCCATGGATGAAAGGTTGTATGTATCCTCTTTGGTGAGACAGATAACTGGAATCAGGAAAGTTGGGTTTAGGTTTTAATTTGCCTGGTTTCCATGGATTACCACTTATCATCATCACAGCTGTTTGCACTCTGTTGTCAAACGTGTTTTTTAAGCTGGGGGTATAATGACAGATTATTGCACACATAAACTGTATCTAAAGGAATTAAATAAATATAGATATAATTTAAATATATTGTGCAAACAATTGTTGGACATTTTAAGAATTAAATTTGTCATATAGAATTTATTTTTAGAGGTATTTATGTAAATGTAGCGATGTGTGACATGTTAGATGAAGTTTTTAGGTACATGTACAGGCTATGACTATTACAGCTTGGATATTTAGCTTGTAGTTTATGATTATATTATTTAGAGTTCACCCAGCTTAGGTCTGGCTATATACTATTTAATTTTATTCTAGCAAAGAGAACAATCCAAGCTGAAAATTGAAAAATGGCAGCTGCTTGTTTAATCCAAGATACAAATGGGCAGCACACGGTGGGAAGGGAGTCCGCCAAGTGTGCCTGGTGATTAATCCAAGCATTGATAATAGGAATAATAAAAAACACAATGTAGGGTTTAAGCAATTGATATTGTCAGCCATGGGCAGTCATCTGCAAATTAATCATTCATCATTGGTTGAACAAATTCAATATTTTCCTTAGCATGACAATCATTTGAGTTAAAGATTGAATTTGCCATATATACTGATCAGCCATAATTATATGACCACTGACAGGTGAAATGATTAACATTCTTGTGACAATGGCATCTGAATTCGACTAGATTTAGTATACAGCAAATAAACATGTTATCCCGGTAGTTGATGTGTTGAAAGCAGAAAAAATGGGGTTTGCAGTTTGTAGTGTATGGGGTGCATAGCTGCAGACCGGTCGGGGTGTCCATGGTGACGTGTCCACAACCAAAAGTGCCTACATTGGGCATATGAGCATCAGAACTAGACCACAAAGCAACAGAAGAAGGTGGCCTGGTCTGATGTATCACGTTTTTATTTATATCATATGAATACCCAGGTGCATGTGCATTGCTTACCTTGGGGAAGAGATGGCACCAAGATGCAGTATGGGGAGAGGGTAAGCTGGTGGAAGCTTTGTACAATGCTCTGCTGGGAAACCGTGGGTCCTGCCATTCATGTGGATGTTATTTTGACATGTACCACCTACCTAAACAGTGTTGCTGACTATGTTCATCCCTTCATGGAAACAGTATTCCTTGATGGCAGTGGCCTCTTTCAGCAGGATAATGTGCCCTGCCACACTGCAAAAATGGTTCAAGAATGGCTTGAGGAACCCAAATACGAGTCTGAGGTGTAATTTCAAAATTCTGCAGAATTCAGTCCAATTAAGTATCTGTGGAATTTGCTGGAAAAACAAGTCTGATGTGGATGTCCCACCTCGCCACTTACAGGACTTAAAGGATCTGTTATTGAGGGAGGCTTGGTGCCAGATACCACTGCATACCTTCAGAGGGCTTGTGGCATCCATTCCTCAATGGGTCAGGGCTGTTATGGAAACAAAAAAGGCTGTTTTGGTTGTAAAAGGGGACCTGCTCAATATTAGGTGGGAGGTCATAAAGTAACCTTGTTCTGCTGGTTCCACAATTTGAGATGGGATGTCAGCAGACTCAAAGCTGTCGAGTGACACCCCATAGTATGAATGAGCAAAGTGACAGATTCTTTTTAGATGCAAAAATTAATCTCTCTCATTCAGGATTTTGCCACAGAAAGTACTATTAAGTGCTTTGTGTCATGTTTTACAACACATTTGTTTCAACACCAAGAAACCAATTTATCATATAATACAACCCGATGCACTTAACAGTCTTTTCTGAGGTAATATGCTAAATGATGGGTGGGATTCATTATTCCATATCTATACAAAGAAAAAACTATTATCTGTAAACTAGATCAAAAATGAATTCGTTTGGCCAGCACTTGTGGCCAAATATTTTAGAAGGTTTTTTGATGCAAAATTACCACTATGTTTACATTAAATATGGATAGACACAACAAAAGAATAAAAAAAAATCAGAAAGGCAGGCATTCAGGCATTCTTCAAAACAGAATGAACATACAAAGAGTTTCTGTTTGTTGCCTTTGGAGATTTCGTAAAACAACCAGCATGAAATTAGATTTGTGATGTTTTATTTTTAAATAGATGAATGTGATATTCACCAAACATTTACTGTAGGTGTATCTTCCTGGTGAATGTGTTTTAAAATACTGTGGCTGATTCACATAAAGTGTTTGGTGAATGTAACAATCACTGTTTTAAAAATGATAAATATAATATGTATATATGAAAACCTAAAAATAGATTCAGTTTTTCAAGGACTATTTGTCTGCTGTTTTGATCTATTTTTTTCACCATTTTCTAAACTATTTGCAAAGCAGCAAACGGGAAAACCATAAAAATATTGAAAAATATACCAAATTGGAAATATCAGAAGAGTTTAAAAAATAGTGAAGTAGAAGTTATCCAAAAACAGTATAAGGCTTGTATCACAGGTATTTAAACACTTTAATACCAGCTTACCAATTGTTTTGGTGATATTCCAAATTCACTTAGAAGGTGTAACAAAATCAACAAGAGCAACAAAGAAATAGTGAGATTTTAAGTTAGTGAGTAAAGAAGATGCCAATTTGGAAAATGGAAGAGAAAAGTACAAATTGACCATTTCAACCCTTAATAACTAGGCCTCTAACAAGGAAATCAAAATCTGAATAGTATATACATTACTATCAAGAAAGATACACAAGGTGTCTGTGAATAGAAGCATAGGTTGACCAGATGTATCTGATGGGGCAGCCCTAGTTTCAGGAGGCTGTCACCAGTTAAAAAGTGCCCTATATATGTCTCTGTTTTAAGGAATGAATCCCATCCCATTTCAGTGGGCCACAGATCGAATTCCTTATTTAGGTATTCATCTTACACCTAGGTATTCTGATCTATTTGCAGCCAATTATCCTCCAAGTGTCTCTCATCTTCACACCTTACTCATAATTTAGCATAAATATCCCATATCATTTCTGAGTCACAGCAGTCAAGATGATCATTTTGCCTAAGCTCCTTTATTTATTCAGAGCACTTCCGATAAATGTTCCGAAATTATTCCTTGACAAATTCCAACAACTAGTCAAGAATTTTATCCGGCACAATAAACACCCCGTTTTACCTCTTTAGTCCTGTATAAATCGCAAAGTACATGGGGCCTCGGCCTCCCTAACTTTTGGCTTTATTTTTTGTCAGCTCATTTTTCTCAAACTGCGCAATGATCAACCGTTAATTTAGGGGTATTATGGGTTCGGTTCGAATCTATGTCGTTACGTCTTTATCTACCGGGTTTGTTATGGTTGGCCATTTGTACACATTCGCTGTCCTCCTATAAATCTTTGGTATTTCAGGCACTGACTTTGTGGTCCCAGTAAAAGTCCAAATTGGGTCTTGCCAAGAGAATTGATATGGTAATGCTTATGGAACATACCCTGCTTGACAGGATGCATCTTTTTGATCTTAAATAGAATGGCTGGAAACAGCATTGACATATCCTGTTGGATTGATTATCTATATGTGATATGTATGTATATGCTTGCTGGCCATGCTGATGTTGATAGGCCTTGTTTTGTTTTTCTGTGCTTCTTCATTTTTCTCTTGACGTTTTGATCTCTTTTCTAGTTATTATGTTTTTTATAACCATTGGTGCATTTTGTACACTTGTATATGGTGATATACTTTGTCAATTGATATGTTTTTTCATTTTCTTAATAAAAAGAGTTTGTAAACAAAAAATAATGAATCCCCAACCTGAATGTTTGTAAATCTGCTGATGTCAATGTCTGGAGAGAGAATTGGGGAGAGAGGAGGAAATAGATTGAGGGCTGAGGCGCAGGCTTAGAGTGCCTGGACAGGATGGCATGGTATTGAGTTGGGCAGAGGGGTGCATGCTTGTGCTGCCATGATAGTGAAATCCGTAACACTTTTTGTTCCATTTGGAGCTTAAATCTCTTCTCTATCCCTTTTTGTACCCCAATCTTCCATGTGTCCATCTATTACAGACTTTATTAACCAGGGTGCTCAGGCACCTTGGGGTGCCTTCAGGTTACTTCAGGGGTGCCTTAGCAAAAAATTGTATCGAAGTCAGTGGGTGGCTCGAGCCTGCCTTTAAGTTACAAAAACGTCAGTTTTTCAATTTGCACCATTACAACCTTCTAGCCACCAACGTCCTAACAAACAATGACGTCATGATGATATGGTGGACAATGGACACCTGCTCTGTCTCTTTGTTTGCCCCTTTCTTGCCCCTGTCGGTCAGCACTGGGATCACATTAGAGAAACTGGGAAACTGGGAGGGAGAGAAACTGAGAAAGAAGAGAAACACTGGAACACTAGTCAGTACCAGTGTGTGAGGGTGTGTTGGCTTTGAAAGAATAAATCACCTCCAGGGGCATACTGACCATTTGGAAACCCGGGCACTGCCCGAGGGCCCGGGGTCAGTAGGGGGCCCCATGAGAAACCCTTGGTACCTTTTTTATAGGCTTTTTTTGAGTTTGGGCAAGGACACAGGGGCCCCATGATCCCCTGTTGCCCGGGGGCCCCATGAGTTGTCAGTCTGCCCCTGATCACCTCTGATGTTGGGTGTCCTACATGTGTGGATGTTTCTGCGCTATGTAACACTATTAACACACATTTTAGAATGGGGTGTCTTGAGATTGTACAGAATTTTAAAGGGTGTCTTGACTGAAAAAAGGTTGAGATATACCGATCTATTATTCCCCAGTCCTACTCTGACTTTCTCTTGTGACTTTAGCACCTACCTTCTCATGCCAAACCTATCCACCTTCTCATTCATACCTAACCTATCCATCTTCTCCTTC